GCTGATCCCCGGGCGACTCCCCCAGAGCGCTCCATGAGCGCACCAACAGGGCTCCGAGACGTCCCCGAGAGCCCCAAGAAAGGCCAAGAGGCCCCCAAGAGGCCCCCAAGATGGTACACGAGGGGTCCGACATGCCACAGGATCGCTCCAAGACGCCCAAGATGGCCCCCAGACGCCCCAAGAGGCCTCCAAGAGCACTCCCAAGAGGGCCCCAGGAGGCAACAATCATTGTTTTTCCTTCGGTTTTTGAAAGATTTTGGAGCTTCCACCTTTGCGGCTCCCCGACGCCCCAAGACGGCCCCAGAGGCCCCCAAGATCGCCCCAAGAGGGCCCAAGAGGCCCCCAAGAGGGCCCCAAGATGGCCCAAGAGGGCTCGAAGACGGCCCAAGAAGCCTCCAAGACGGTCCAAAAGGGCCCCAAGAACGCCCCCAAAGGGGCCCCAGAGAGGGAACACGAAACAACATTTCGAGCCTTCGGCCCTAAGAAGCCCCCACGAGGCCCCAAGAGGCCCCTAGGAGGCCCCAAGAGGCCCCCACGAGGCCCTCAGGAGGCCCCCGAAAGTCCTTCAAGCGGCCCCAGGAGGCCCCCCAAATGCCCCCCCGAGCACGCAAGCAAGTGCAAGCGATGCTACAATGTGCTCTCATTTCGGTAGACTCCCAACGGGGCCCCTACAGACTTGCAACAAGCGTCAAGAACCTGCCCAAAAAACACTGTCCAAGAGCGTTCACAAGTGCCGCGAAAAAACCCTCCTTACGCCGGAAAGCCGAAAACCGGGTGGGGTGAGCTGTTCTTCTCACTACCGCACCCTCTCACACAATGGCTTCCGCACGCCGCCCAGAGCGCGACGTTCGGCTCATGCCCCGAGAACGCTCCAGGAGCGCGCCGAAACGGCACCGGAACGCCCCCGAAACAATCCAAGCGGCCTCAAGTCGCCGAACAATCGTTCCAAATCGCCCAAGATGACCTCAAAATTGCCGTCGAAGCCGCCAAGAAGCCCCGAGAGAGCCTCAAGAGGCCCTCCAAGACGGCCATTACAATCAAAAATCGTTCCATTCCAAGAGGAACATGTACACTTCCCGCATGAACGGCGTTTCGAATTTCACAGCGCCTCAGACTACGCAAATAGCCCCCAACATCGCCCCGAGACAACTCAACAATCCGCTAAAATCGGGCCAAGACGGCCCAAGATAACCCCAAGACGGCACAAGAGAGCACCAAGACCGCCCAAGAGGCGCTCAAAGAGGGATTCTGCCCCGAGGAGCACCTCAGAAGCCACCGAAATCCCGCCAATAAGTCCCCCAAGACGCCCCAAGAACCACCCAAGAAGCCCAACAAGAAGCCCCAACGACCCCCAAACGGCCCTTACGGGGCCTCAAGAGGCTTCAAGACTGCCTCCAAGAGGTTCCCGAGACGCCTGGCCAAAAAAACCCAAAACGCCGCATTGACACCAGGCCCTCGGGCAAACGGCAGACATGAGACTGTGTAGGCCGGCGGAATGAGCGAAGCGATAAATGGATCGGGCTCTCCCCCTGGCTAGCCCGCAAGGAAGCAATGGTCGATCCTGGAGTCTGAAGGTGCAGAGATCTCCCCTGGGCCCTGCCGCGCGCCCATGTGCGATCTCGCCAACGCGCAAACTCCAACGCTCTTGCCGCCTTTGACGGTAGTTAGACATGGCAACGGCCCGTCTCCCAGAAGTGCCTTCGCAGGCGCTCCTCGACCTCGAGACGGAGCAAACCATGAAACGCATGCTTTCGGGCACGTGCACATGGGCGTGCCACATGAGCTCCGTCGAAGGCCCCCAGCGGCAGAGTTCGCATGGCGGCCTCGGGCCATGTCGGCACGACCCTCACGAGGATCGTGGCCCCATAAGGAGCTCCACCAAAGGAGCCAGTGGCAGGGTTCGCGCAGCGGCCTCGGGCCATTTCGGCACACCCCTCACGAGGATCGTGGCCCCATTAGGAGGGTTTCACCGAAGGCGCCAGCGGCGGGGTTCGCATGGCGGCCTCGGGCCATTTCGGCACACACACACACACACACACACACACCTCACGAGGATCGTGGCCCATGTGCCACATGGGGTGCACGGGCGCAATGGGGGGGCGCATGGTGCCAGCGCCTGTGATGTGGGCGGCCGCAACGCTCCAGGAACTTGCGTGCACTGTCTGGATCTCGAACTGGCTGGTCTCGGACCACCTGCGCATATAATGTTGCAGCGGAAGCCCGTCCAAAGGAAACCTTCCACAAGGAACCCAACCCTGAGACCCCATGGCGTTCATCGACTTTTGGCGAGGGAACGTCGCGCCTTCCATAGCAAAACCATCGAAACCGAAGCAATCCAGGGCACCCTGGAGGCAAGCAGGGTGTTTCTTGGCATGAGCCCCCACTGCGCCCAGGCCACCGTTGCGCCTGAGCCTCCTCGCGGCGCATCTTGGATGCCTCCTGCTTGTCATTTAGCTCCGCCTGCTCGGCTGATTTCCTCTCTCCTCCCCCCGGCTGGCCCCGCGCGCAGCGCAACGGGGGGGTGGCTGGTTTGAGCCGGGCGCGCGCGGGCGGACATGGGCGGACGTCGTCGTTCGTTCGTCGTCGACGCGCGCGCCTTCCTCTCCTTTCCTTTCTTCCCCTCTCCCTCTCATTCCTTACGCCAGTTTTTTCCGACGGCGGTGCTGCGCTCATCTCTGCGCCCCCGCCGTCCTCCTCCTCCTGGGCCTCCTCCGCCCGCCGGCCCCCACCCATCGCTTCGCCTCTGCCACCGCTGCCAGCGGCGGCTTCCGCAGCTGCCTCCCACTAGCGACGGCGGAGGTGCCTCGCTTTTCGCGGCTGCCCCCAACGTAATTTACAAGGGACCGTGGCCCTGGGGCCGCGGACACAGTGTCATTCATGAGAGATCGTGGCCCCGGAAGCGCGGGCGCAGCGCAACTTGTTGTGGATCTGGGCTCTGGGGGGCGGACTGCAGTCGTGCGAGGCAGTCCTGAGGTCCGGGCCCGGGTTGAGCGAGAAGTAGTTTCGGGTGTTGCTAGAGGTGCCCCTGGCCCAAGGTGCCCCCAGCTTTTCGTTCCGTTTTGAAGCCGCTGGGGCCCTCTGGGCCTCATGAGGGGTGCTCTGGGGGCCGTCTGGGCCCCTCCGAGAATCCTGGGGCTACCTTGGGCCAGGGGCACTTCTAGCAACACTCAGTATTTGAGGCCCACCAAGCAGCCCGACAACTCACTGCCGGACTGCGTGCCCGCTGCCATCACCGCACCTTCGCCTCAAGCACCACTGCCAGCGGCGGCTTCCGCAGCTGCCTCCCGCCGGCGCCCCGGCGGAGGAGGGCGCCGGGGCGTCCGCCTCGCTCCCCGCAGCTCCCGCGGAGGCCGCCGTGCGGTCGTTCGTGAGGAGCCGAACTCTACCTCAGCACTTTCTGAGGGTGGAGGGCTCAGGGTGAAATCCACATGGGCGGTTGCACCTCGAAGATGCGAGTCGCAGATTCAAACCTCGAAAATTATCCCAGTGCGACCCTACCTAGGAGTTGGAGCCCCTAGGAAAGCAGCATTAGTAGTATCAGTAAAGCTAAAGCTAAGCTAAAGCTAAGCTAAAGGTAAGCTAAAGTTAGGCTAAAGGAAAGTTAAAGCCAAGCTGAAGCTGAGCTGAAGATAAGCTAAAGCTAAGCTAAATTTAAAGCTAAGCTAAAGCTAAAGCTAAGCCAGCGCTAAGCTAAAGCTAAGCTCAAGCTAAGCTCAAGCTAAGCTAAAGCTAAGCTAAAGCTAAGCTAATGCTAAGCTAATGCTAAGCTAAAGTTATGGCTAAGCTAAAGCTAAGCTAAAGCTAAGGTAAAGCTAAGCTAAAGCTAAGCTAAAACTAAGACAAAGCTAAACTAAAGCTCAAGCTAAAGCTAAAGCTAAATGCTGTACTATGCTATACTATGCTCTGCTATGTTCTGCTCTGCTATGCTGCGCTGTGCTATGCTGTGCTGTGCTGTGCTGCGCTGTGCTGCGCTATGCTATGCTATGCTGTGCTGCGCTATGCTATGCTATGCTGGGCTATGCGCTATGCTATGCTACGCTATGCTATGCTGTGCTCTGCTATGCTAAAGCTCAGCGAAGCTAAGATGAAGGTAAGCTAGCTAAGATAAACCTGAGCTAAGATGAAGCTAAGCTAAACAAATATGAAATAGGTTAAGCTAAGATGAGATAAGCAACGCTAAGCTGAGGGGACGTAACTGGGGGAACCGCGGGGCGGATACTGGGGGAACCGCACGGGGCGAGTTGCACTGCCCGGCCCTTTAAGCATACCGAGTAAGAACCCTTCTAGGCAGAGCCTAGGTAGGAATCAATCGAAACAGCATTTCAGATTTCACCCTTTGCCCTCCACCCCAGAGAATGCCCGGTCTACACACACCAACGCTTTTGCCGGCCCCGCACTGAGATTCGCGCAGAAGTCCGACCCTGGTGTACGGTACGGGCCCGACCCAGACGTCGTCCTTGACCCTCAAAGTCCTGGGATTGAAAAACAGCCCGCCACTGGTAGTGTATATGCTCCAACTTCCAAGTTCGAGGCAGACCTGAGGTCTGGGCCCGGGTTGAGCGAGAAGTATTTGAGGCCCGCCATGTAGCCCCACAAGTCACTGCCTGGCTGTGTGCCCGCTGCCATCACCGCAGCTGTTCCTATCTGTTCCTCCAACCTAGCCGTGGAAAAGGCATCCGCAAACCAGGCGGCAACACGTGCGGGTCCGTCGTCGGGCTGACTGGGGATGACCCCGTCAGAGGTGCAACCTTCTGCTCGAGTTTGTCCTTCGACACCTTGGCAGACTTGAGATCGGCCTCGATCAAGGCCCTTTGCACCTCCTTATCCTCTGCCCTCTTGAGGCCTCCTCTTCCTCCCTCCCCGTGGTCCCCTCTCCTCCCCATCCTCCTCCTCGATCCTTCTCATCCCTCCCTCCTCGTCGTCCTCCTCGTTTTCCTACTCCCCTTCTCTCCCTAGCACCTCCTCATCCTCCTCGCCGAAGAGCGCGGAAGCGGCTGGTCCTCCCAATGCTCCGAGACCGCGACGCTGCTCCGGCACTCTGCGTCGACGCTGTCGGCTCTGTCCCTGCCAGCGGCAGAGCAGGCGGCCGTGGACTTCCTGGATGCCTCCGCGGCCGTGCCAGGATCCTCTTGAGAGAGCCCTTCAAGCCCACTAGCCTTCCTCGTCGACATCGTCGCTGTCATCTTCAGTATCACCACCACCATCATCACAACCACCATCATCGCCGTCGTCGCCGATCCCCAATACCACCATCACTACCGGAATCACCAGCGTTGTCAACATCGTCGTCGTCATGATCACCGTCGTCATCATCTCATCCTCCTCGTCATTCCACCGCCGTCGCGATCGTCATCGACGTCATCGCAATCAACATCAGATTATCCCGTCGGAATATGTGCGCCATTGCGGAATCGCGATGGTCCCATTCTATGGCCGTCCGTTGATGGGCAAGTCATAGGCGGGAGGGGCAATGCGACGCAAACGGGCAGAGCCACTTTGCTTTGCTCACCGATGCTGGTATTCTAGCGGCGTAATGCTTATCCTCGATACTTACACAAAGCTCTACGACTGCAAGCGCCAGCTCGTCCCACGCGGGCACGAAGCACAGTGCTCGCGCGAAGGCACGAAGCTGTACGACCATGCAACATCACATGCTCGATTTGGCTCGTTTGGGTTTACTGCACGGCTTCATCTGTGAATGACAGTGATGAAAATGTGTGAGTCAAACTGAAGTTGTGCTGCTTTGAATGAGCCCACTGTTTTTGCTTGTTTGGCCAAGCGGCTTCGCCCAATGCTCGAGATTCCACTTTTGATGCAATGTTCCCCTCGGCGTATCACTCGTGCCCATATCTGATACGGTCGGACCTAAGACAGAAGAACATCCTTCAAGAACATGAGACCCTCCGCCGGCCCAAACTGAAGAAAATTCGAGGGTACCCTCCCCCAGGATGCACAAGACCACCCGACAAACACGAAGAAAATTATGTTACCATCCCCGAGCCGACCTCGACCTGATACCTCGGTCCGACCGCATCGACGACCTAGAACAATCGCGCTGCAGCACCAACAGGGCGAGGGCACTCGGGCGCGAAAAAGGCACTGAGCATTCATTGCCCACCAGCACGGCACACTACACGTGAAATTGCACAACACATCGAATCTGCACTCAGTGATCAGAGCTGCTCTTTTCTCGCCCCATATTTATCCCCCTCCACTGTTCGAGCAGCCACCACTTTCCCGCCTATTTCGGGCCCTGGGCCTCACGTATGAATACGGCCCAGGATCTCCTGCACAGCTGGCTTCGTGATATCTGCACGAGCCCTGCTTCCTGCAGAAGGGCGCCAGCTACCCATCGGTCGGATTAAGTACGTAGAAACATGAAGTATGAAGGCGTAGAAAGTAGATTGGGTGTCCGCCCACCCCCAAAAGAGGATGGAATAGGTGAAGCCACTCGATCATTGAAGTAGGAAGGCGCTTCAAGTAGATTGGAATCTGGGAACCCACATATACCTACTTTCAACGACCGATGGGTAAGTGTTCACCGACACCGATCCTGGCCAAGCCAACTTTGGGCCCGCGATCGGTGGGTACGCCCTCCCAGGCTAGGAGCACGGGCGCACGGGCGCGGAGGGATGAGGTAGGAGAAGGGAGGGAGAGAAGGAGGCGAGAGAGCGAAGTTTTTGTTTTGAGCTCAACACTCCGCTGCCACAGGATTCGAGCACTGGGGGCAGGGCATGGAAGAGAGAATACATAGCAGCTGTGTTGGTGTAGGCATTGCAGCGCAAGCAGCAATACCGTAGACGCTACAACATCAGCGCCGTGGATCAATAGTTCGTATGAGATGCCGTCGCCCTGGCCAAATGACACTACAACGACGCGCGATTCGCGCGCGCTTAGGTTCTAGTCAAGGGCAGATGATCATGCACATCCTATGCCTACGCCCCACCTCATAGTCCCGTTCGTCTAACTCCTCCTTGCCCTCATCCTCCTACTCATCATCCTGTTCCTATCCCCACTCTTCCTCCTCCTCCTCCGCACTCTTCCTCGTCCTCGCCGTCTTCGTCGTCCTCCTCCTCCTCCTCCTCCTCCGCCTTCTCCTCGTAAATTTTGTCCTCCTCAGTCCTCCTCCCTTTCCCCTCTCCTTCTCTGGCACTCGATACTCGTGCAGGCGCAAATGGAAGAAGAGGGCGCAGTGATGGGGAAGCAGGGAAGGAGGGATGGATGGGAGGAGTGGCGAGAAAACAAGGATGGGAACCGCCACGGTGGCGTCGCCGCTGGCCCGCCGGTACGTCCCAGGGGGGTCACGTTCAGAGGGAGGGGCAAGGATGAGGGACGATGGATCCAGACGGGTCCCCAGGAGGCTGCCAGGAAAGTTCCGAAAGCACAAAAAAGAAGAGGCCCGAAATCGAGTTACGCGAAAGCCCTCTAGCTCCGTGGGGAGCCTCTCGGATGGCTTTTGGGGGGCCTCTTGTATCCCCTGGGAGGGTCTTGGGGGGGTGTTGGAGGTCTTGATTACCCGCTAGAATAATTCCCAAATGCCTCTCTTGACCCACTCTCGGGGCCCTCTAGGGGGTCTCTTGGGGCTCTCTTGGGCTGTCTGGGGCAATCTTGGAGTCCTCTTGGGTCGTCGTGGGGTCCTCAACGCAGTCTAGAAAACCCATAGGGCTGTCTTGGGCTGTGGGAGGCTCGATAAGGGGAGAACGCTAAAACCATTCAAAGGCCCAAAGAAAATCACTGATGCTTGTCTCTTCAGGCCATCTGGGGGGTCCTCATAGGGCTCTCTTGGAGTGTCTTGGGGGCCTCTTTGGCCGTCATGAGGCGATCGAGGGCTCTTTGAAGGCTCTAGAGCCATATTGGGCAGATCTTGGCGGTCTTGAGGGGGATTCTTGGCGCCGGCTTGAGGTGGCCTTCGGCCGTATTCACCCATCCGTGGGCTGAAATAGCCCCACGGAGGCTTGAAACGGGCCCGCAGCCCACCCGGGCACGGGGGTAATTCTATGAAATTAGACAAGAAAAAACCCCAATCAATGAATGGTTTTCTCTGAAGAGATCGACAAGGAACCCAGGAGCCCGGGAACACAGAACCCACCCAAATCGGCCCAGAACCAATAACCGGGAACCCGGAACGGAGAACCCGGGAATCCAGCCTGCCACCAACATCGGCGGGAAACTTTCGCCAAATCCTTCAACTACACCAAAGAAAAACCCAATCAATGGATGGTTTTCGCTGCATGAGGAGATCGACCGGGAACCCGGGAGCCTGGGAACGCAGAACCCACCGAGATCGGCCCGGAACCAATAACCGGGAAC